CTACTATAACCTCCTTACTTCTTAGATTTTTATTTTTATTCTCTAGAATTTTCTACTACAATATCTAGATATTATACTACTTGAGGAGGTGATGATTTTTCTAGAAAGATTCTAGAATTTTCTTAACTTTGGGTTTAGTCCAATAAGATTATTGGAACCCAAAATTAAGCAAAGCCCAAAATCAAGTTTAACTTCAATATATACATGATATTCCTATAATTCCAGTTCTTTTTATTCAAGTGATAAATAACAAAAGCAACTTATTTTATTTCATATAATCCATACATAGCTATACTGAATAAAGTAAGTATCATATAGACCTGGAGCTGAAGTTGAAGATCTTTCATATACTCAATGGTCTTATCGAGAACAGAAACTGTGTCCTCCTGCAAATCGAAAACAAAACACACATCACCAACAATTGGAAAACGCATGCAAGATATCTTGAAATATGGAGCTATATATATATATATATATCAGATACATGATGGATAGTTACATACAATATATAAATAAAGAGAGAGTAATATACCAACCTTGTGACAATTGGGTAAAAGTTTCTGTAGCTTACGCATCTTGTTACTCACCGTCTCGTCACTTCTTCTTCTCTTGAAACCTTTTCTTGTCACTGTAGGAACTTCTCTTGTGAACCCCTCTGATTCATCCTAAACAATTTTATAGTAAAAAGAAAATTAAAAGGGTGAAATTAATATATATAGAAATATACACAAGGCAACATGGGAAGTCTGTCAAATATGTATCCACTTACATCACTGAAGATCTCGAGACGAGACCGCTTTGGCTTATCATGCTTGTTTCTCAAATAATATTGATTATCTGAACTATCTGAAAAGTCATTGATATGATGATCACCAGTTTCAGAATGTTCATCAGGGACAACCAACGTCAAATCTTTCTCCGAATTTTCTTCTTCTTTTTGAATCTCTGGAACAATTTGGAACTGAATATCAGCTTGATCATGATCAACGTATCCGTAGTTCGATTTTAGGCCGGTGATTAGACGTTCTTCATTACTTCTTGCTCTTTCTGATGTGCCCTCATCTTTCATAGCAAGTGATCCAACGTTGTTGTTCCACACCAGCTCCATGAAACCTTGTTTATTCAACCTGCAACAAAAAAAAAAAGGTTTATTAGGGTTGAGATCGAGGACTGATCACTGCCGAGTCAAAGATGATTTTAGTCGTAAGACAAGATCTCCCTTAATATATACGTACATGTTAGTTAAAGAGAGATTGGAGATGAAAACTTAGAGAAAGTTCTTCTCCGAGACCTTTAAAATTGTTGAGTAAATGGAATATCTCATTGGTTTTTATTATAGGAATGACCGGAGCCGGTTGGACAGTTGTCAGCCAATTTAGCGACCCACTTGTTTTAGGCCACGTTCAGTACTATGAATGGTTCTTTTATTTTTCAAGAAAATGATTTTCATTTTAAGCACACCGACAATCTATATGAATCAGTCCAGCTAGTTAGTCTAGTTCTTAAGTTGAGGTTGAATACAATACTTTGTGTTTCACAAAAATCGTTAAAGATAACATTTTAATTATTCTAGCTAGATCTTGAAAATGCAAAATAAAAGATAGTTTACGTAATTAAATAGAACTTGAAGAGATTTATAATGACAATTACATTATATATTTTTCAATTTTTTTGGTCTTTTTTAACTAGGGTCATGTTTATAATATTTAAAAGGAAAGTAAGACTATTGTGCTCTTTTAAAATTTTAATTAGTATTTTCCGTAATCATTTTATCTTTAAATATTCGTCGTTATACTCTATCTAATTTGTATTATCAGATGTCCAATCGGCTCTAAACTAGTAAAATAGTCTACCTCTCAGTTTATCTGAAATAGTCGAGCAACGACCACCACACTTTCATTTAGTTGATAAAATGTTTTATCATAAAAAATCCTTAATAATAAGCGTCTAAATGGAATCCATAGAAATAGTTATAGGTTTTTTACTAAACTTTTGAAATAGATATAGTTTTGCTTAAACGAAAGTAGTTAATAAACTAAAGTCGCTGATTATTAAGGTGCAAAGAAGTTTCGAACGCAAACTATTCGTCAAAAACATAATGAATTAATATTTTAAACTAAATCCGTTGAAAACAAATAAATGGATGTATTCTATCATGTCTTCGTGTGTGCATGGTTATGATGTGTGCGTAAACGTTTACGATGTCAATAACTCAATACGATCAATATATTCTAGAGCTAGTTACGGTATTGTGGTCTATTTTATCTTCATGCGCCGCTAATGTTCGATTATTTCTTTCGGTTGAAAATACATTTCAAATACTATTTAAGGTTTCGGAAAGAAAAAGAAACGATAGTATTCTAGGGTTTTATCCTAAAACCCACGTGGGTTATGGGCCATTACCATATACTATAACGAATAAGATTTTTGTTTTCGGTAACCCCACGACACATTTATTGGAATTTTAGGGTCATGTCACCATCACCCATACACCGAGCAGGTGCGATGGTCCACATTATATCTTTAATACCACAAAAACTCCAATAATTTCAAAATATTATCCCCTAACAAAAATCAGTTAGCAGACTAACACGAGAGGAATCATTGAGGCAAATAGCCAAATACTTTTATTATGATTAACGAATGTTTTAGATAAACTTTGCTGTACCTCGCGTTGAATAAAATGGGCCAGGAAATCCTAAAAGAGAGGAAGAAAATGCGTCTCGTTCACGTGGTACCTCGTGATGGACATGCTTGTATGTCTGACACGCAATGCTTTCCATTTTTGTTGGTGTCTTAGCGATCGACGAAGCAAAACCTCAGCCACTCCATGTTTCCATCTCCTAGAACGACAACGACCTTTCGGAATATTACATTCCAATCTACACTTACACAGTTCACATAATGAAAGATGGGCAAAGGTTTGCATTATTGTTATTGTTACTATTCTAAAAAAAGAATATCTCCCATCATCTTTCATGCAACCGAAACAAGAAATACTATTCCTTTTATATGCAATGGAAGGTGACCTAAGAGCACCCACAACGGGCAAAAGGAGGAATCCTTAAGCCCAAGTCCTTGTTGCTTTTTGATTAAAAAAATAATAGATGGGCTGGGTTTTTGAAGGATTGGTACGTGATGAAGAGTTTTTCCGTACCGAATCCGTAATGACGTGGCATTGTTTTGTTACGGGTTGTTTATTTTTTTTACTAATCAAAATCATTCTCGACACGGTTTTAAAAAAAAAAAGCTCTGGTTCTCACAAAGGCGATTTTGAATTCCGTGGGTAGATCGTAAATCCCTAGCTTCCTTGGTTGATTTATGGATGTAAATCGACTAGGGTTTGAATTTGGGGGTCGTGCATGACGTTTTTTGTTCGCGATTTAGGGTTTGGGGTTCTTTTTTTGGGAACGATTTGGGGATGTTTTGGATTTGGGGTTTTCAATGGATTAGGGTTTGAAATCGATTTCGATTACATGTTTCCGAGATTGATTTCCTTTTAGTATGTGATGAGTTGTTGATGTTTTCGATTTTGGGTTTCCAATCGATTTTAGGGTTTCAACCCGACTACGATTTTAATGGTTTCCGAGTTTGATTCCGGATGTAAATCGACTAGGGTTTGAGGTTGGGGATCGTGCATGATGTTTTTGTTCGCGATTTAGGGTTTCGTGTTCTGTTTTTGAAAAGGTTTTGGGGATGCTTTGGATTTGGGGTTTTCAATGGATTAGGGTTTCAAACTGATTTCGATTATACCTGTTTCCGAGATTGATTTCTTTTAGTATGTGAGTTGTTTGTTTACGGTTAATAGTTTTGTGTCTCTATACCTTGTTGAGTCTTGTGTCTCTATACCTTGAATCTTTGAGTCTTGTGTCTCTATACCTTGTTGTGTGTTTAGTTTGCTCATGGTTTAGAACTTCTTTTGAGTTGTTTGTTTACGGTTAATAGTTCTGTGGTCAGTGTGTTCGAATTTGTTGGGAACTTTGAATTGTGTTGTTGTGTTTTTATTAGTTTCCTTGTTGTGTGTTTAGTTTGCTACTTGTTTTGAGTTGTTGTTTACGGTTACATGGTCCACGGGTTTACATGGTCACGGGTTTGAATTGTGTTGTTGTGTGTTTTAGTATTTTCCTTTACCTTGTTGTGTGTTTAGTTTGCTCATGGTTTAGATAACTTGAATTGTGTTGTTGTGTGTTTACGGTTACATGGTTTATATTTTATGGTGAGTTGTCTGTCCGGGTAACTTTGAATTATCTTAAACGCTCTTGAGTAATTAGTCTTAGCTAATTGTTTTTTTACATTATTTTTTCAGGTTAACTAATCATGGGACAAGATTACTCATACACCCAGCCTTCTTCTTCAGACGAGTTTGACATGACGGCCCTGCTTGAAGAAGAAGCTCAATTATACAGGGATGAAGCACAGAGTAGATTCAATATTGCAGAGCAGGTTCAGTACACACCTCAACCCGAAGGTGATGAAGGAATCCCAAGGGCATGCTACTGTGGTGCTGAGCCGGTTGTCGAAACATCTTACACGGCTAAAAATCCAGGGAGAAGGTACTATACGTGCGACAATGTGGATGATGGGGACTGCCACATTTGGAAATGGTGGGATGTGGCTTTCACGGAGGAGATGAGTGAGTTGCAGAGACATTTGAGGCTCGTTAAGGAGCAATGTTTTGACTGTGACCAGAAGCTAGTTAAGCTGCAGAAGACCGTCAGTAAGCTAAAGAACACCGTCTGTGAGCAAAAGAAGAGCGTATGGGAGGATAATAACACCTATATCATGGTATTGGTCTCCATATTGACCGTTATCATAGGATTCGCGGTTATGTTTGTAACTGGTAAGCATTTGTCTTGTGCTTTTGGTTGTAGTTCATCCTATTTTGTGAAACTTTTAACTGGCAAGACCTCATTCTTTGCAGGAATAGGTTCGAAGAAGTAAAGCAGAGTGTCCAAAAAGCTCCAGCGTGTAATAGGTACGATACTATCCCCTCAGAGTAGACAGTTATAGGTTCTCTGTAATTTAGGTAAATGGTAAATGCAAACGAAGATTAAAGCAGAGTGATTTATAAATGCTAGTTATAGCTTCTCTGTTTTTTAGGTAAATGGTAAATGCAAATGGGTTTTAAATCTCTTTTTTGAATTAAATTCCTACCGCCTCAGACTAGACAGTTTTTCAGTTTTATAAATGGGTTTTACTTTGATTTGATTGGTTTTAATGCAACTAGTTTAGCTTTCTACTTCCTAACTACTCGGTCTTAAATGTTTCTTACTTTAACCTCGCCTACTTAAGTTAGATTTCTACCCTTGTTCGTTAACCACAAACCTCTAAACATGTCTTCCAACACTAGTTATGTTAACCTGTTGTTTAGTCAGTCTCAGTCTCCAGTGGATCTTGATTCACCAGAACCGTTTTGGTTCGGTAGCGAAGCTCATGACGCGTCTCCACGTGTCGACTCTGGCGTGGATACTGGTGTGAAGGAGAGAAAGAAATGGACTCAGAAGGAGGATACAATCCTAATCGGAGCATGGCTGAACACGAGTAAAGATCCTGTGGTGAGCAATGATCAGAAAGCTGTCGCGTTCTGGAGGAGAATTGTAGACTACTACAACGCAAGCCCGCAACCGGTGGGAACACCACCCAGAGAGCTTGGCCCGTGCAAGCAGAGGTGGGCTCGAATTAATGAACAAGTATGCAAGTTCGTAGGGTGCTACGACGCGGCGTTGAGGGACCAAAAAAGTGGTCGAAGCGATGATGACGTGATGATAGTTGCCCTAGGCAACTTTGAGGCTCAGTATAAATGCAGGTTTGCCATGGAACATGCCTGGCGGGAGCTCAGGCATGACCAGAAATGGGCATCCACATATTTGACTAAAGACGGTAGTAAGGAAAAGCGCAAAGAGGTGGAGGTTGATAGACAAGAAGAAGAAGTTGGGAGACCCGTGGGGGTCAAGGCAGCTAAAGCTGCTGCCAAGAAGAAGAAGAATGGAACGGAAGAGTCTTTGTCACGGATACAAGCCATCATGGAGATGAAAGATCAGCTCTCAAAGCAAAAACTGCTTAAATGTCTACTCGCCAAAAGAGAGCCATTAACAGAGATGGAAACAGCTCTTAAGCTGAAACTTATGTCTAATATGATATGAGTTTAGGTAGTTTTAGATGTTCAGTAGTTACATGTCTTCTAGTTAGATAGAAAGTAGTTATTACTTTGGTACTATACTAACTCGTGTCTTATTTGTTGTAACAGGTGCAGCAGAACCATGTCACGGGTGGATGTATTTTGGTCGTTTGAAGTTTGTCACGGGTGGATGTATTTTGGGTTCTTGTGAAGTTTGTCACGGGGTGAACAAGTTTGTCACGGGTTGTTCAGTGAAGTTGATGTCTTTTTATGTAGTATAAGTAGTGCTCATGGGTTTATGTATTTCTCATTCTCGGCAAGTTGTAATATTTTCCTACCAAAACCTTGTAAGATCACGCTTGTTTCTGTTCCTTGCATCTCATCTTGCAAGTTGTAATATTTTGCTACCAAAACCTTGTAAGATCACGCTTGCTTCTATTTATATTATTTTAGTTAATCAATCACTTTTGTTTATATACTTGAAATCATTTTGTTTATATACTTGAAATCACTGCTATGTAGCTTTTCTAAATAGATACTTGAAAGCACTCCTATATTGTTTCATGTTAAACCAATCAAATTCAAATGCAAACGATTTAGTTCTATAAAATCACTTCTATATAACTGCTTTAAATTGTTGTATAAGTATTAATAATGAATTTTTCACTTCTATATAGCTGTTTTAAATTTTTCAAATTGTATTAATAATGAATTTTTTTTCAGGAAGGATTACCAACATGTCGGGTTCTTCGTCCGATGAAATTGATGAGAGATTAGACGAAATTATCGATGATATCTTTGAAGATACATACAACAACATAGTAGAGGCCCAACCAAGTAAGCAAAACAAACGTGCTTATATCAAGCGATACCGTGAAGCAGGACAAGACCGTTTATGGAATGACTACTTTAGCGAAGATCCGATATTCCCGGCACATTTATTCAGACGCCGTTTCCGTATGAACAAAGACTTATTCATGCGTATTGTCCATCGCCTCTCCGAACACGTTCCATTCTTTCAACAAAGAAGAGATGCAACCGGGAGGTTCGGTCTTTCTGCACTGCAAAAATGCACCGCTGCAATTCGTATGCTTGCTTATGGTTCTGCGGCTGACGCGGTCGATGAATATCTCCGACTTGGTGAAAGCACGGCTCTTTCGTGTTTACGACATTTCACTGAAGCAATAATCCAGTTATTTGGCGAAGAATATCTACGAAGACCAACTCGAGAGGATCTTCAGCGGTTACTCCATATTGGAGAGATGCGTGGGTTTCCTGGGATGGTTGGAAGCATTGACTGTATGCATTGGAAGTGGAAAAATTGCCCAACCGCTTGGAAGGGACAGTACACCCGTGCGTCAGGAAAACCGTCAATTGTCTTAGAGGCTGTTGCTTCACAGGATCTTTGGATATGGCACGCGTTTTTTGGTCTTCCAGGTACCTTAAATGATATTAACATCCTTGATCGGTCTCCTGTTTTTGATGATATTATTCAAGGTCGAGCTCCCACGGTAGAGTACATGGTCAACGGACACATGTATAATTTGGCGTACTATCTCACTGACGGTATCTATCCAAACTGGGCAACATTTATCCAATCTATTTCACTCCCTCAAGGTGCTAAAGCAGAGTTATTTGCTAAATATCAAGAAGCAACCCGAAAAGATGTGGAGCGGGCTTTTGGAGTATTGCAAGCTCGGTTTGCGATTGTGAAAAATCCGGCACTTTCATGGGACAAAGATAACCTAGGGAAGATTATGAGAACGTGCATAATACTCCACAATATGATAGTCGAAAACGAGCGAGACAATTACACTCAGTATGATCAAAGTGAATTCGAAGAAGGAGACGTAACCAGAAGTTCACGGGTGGATATGTCTTATCGTGCGTACACATCTCCTAGTGTCGAGGAAATGCGTGGCGTTCGGATTCATCTTCGCGATAGGCGTATACATGACCAATTGAAGAATGATTTAATTGAAAATGTTTGGAACAAATTTGGCGATGAAAATTAATAATTGTTGTATTTTAATGTTTAATCATTCAATAAAAAAAAATTCAGTTTACATTTAAAAAAAAAAAAAAATTAATAATATTAAAAAATTGTTAAGGATTCCGAATTGGAAAACACCATTGCACATACATTTTAACCTCGAATCCTTAACTGTTCAAAAAAAAAAAATATTACTAAAAAATTGTTAAGGATCCACAATGGAGGCACACCATTGTGGGTGCTCTAATGGCCGACATATAGTACTCTAATCTAGCAACTTCAACTCCAGTCTCCAGCTCATAGGTCAGATGATCTTCGGGTATCACAACGAAAAAGTTAAGTTATTAAAGTAACTAGAAGACTACGAAGACAAATGTATTGTGTGACTTAGTTACCTTCATAGTATTCTCATTTTATTAATTAAATATGTAAAAGTATGTGAGTATATCAATGTTTTTTTCTTCGACTATCAATGGCTTTTGTTACTTTTGCATGTAAACTATTCCCTCCGTTTTTCTTCATAAGTAATTTCAAAGAAATGCTTTTGTTTCAAAATATAAGTAGTTTTTAAATATCTAAGTAATTTATTGAATATATTATATCCAATTAAATAATATTGATTTATTTCTAATTTATTTAATTATATTTAATTTATTAAAATAATAACAATTATTTTAATATTTGTGCATTCGATTAAAAGTTAAAACTAGTATTTTCGGCTGTACTTCATAACGTGTGATATTCCCAAACTTCTTGGTCCAAAAACAATTTTTTAATTGGGCTTTAGGTTAGGCCATATAACGAATAATAAGCAACGAAACCAAAGCCTCTTTCTCAGACGGAAGGTTATATCGAATAAGGAAATCTCACAGGTGAGTGAGAACACCTTATCGGAGATAAGAGAGTTTGACACAAACTGAGAAAAGTCTTATCCTCCTTCCTCCTCGCCGCGATCGCCATGGATTTATCTCTCCTCCGTCCGGTGGCGACGCAGCCACTTCTATCGTCATTCTCGAATCCATTTCCTCGATCACGCCCCTACAAGCCTCTCAGGCTCCGCTGTTCAGTATCCGGTGGATCTGTCGTCGGCTCCTCTACAATCGAAGGCGGAGGTAAAACCGTTACGGCGGATTGCGTGATCGTCGGTGGAGGAATCAGCGGTCTGTGCATTGCTCAAGCGCTCGTGACGAAGCACCCGGACGCAGCGAAGAATGTGATAGTGACGGAGGCGAAGGATCGTGTGGGAGGGAATATCATTACGCGAGAGGAGCAAGGCTTTCTATGGGAAGAAGGTCCCAATAGCTTCCAGCCGTCTGATCCTATGCTCACTATGGTGGTACGGTTTACACGGAAGATTAGTGGTTTAATGGATTGGTTTAGTGGATTTGTGTGATTAAAAATTGCAGTTAGTTAGTTGTTTAATAGATTGGTTTAGTGGATTTAGGTTTTGTATTTGTGTGATTAAAATTGGCAGTTAGATAGTGGTTTAGTATATTGGTTTAGTGGATTTGTGTGATTAAAAATTGCAGTTAGTTAGTGGTTTAGTAAATTGGTTTAGTGGATTTAGGTTTTGTATTTGTGTGATTAAAATTGGCAGTTAGATAGTGGTTTTATATATTGGTTTAGTGGATTTGTGTGATTATAATTGCAGTTAGTTAGTGGTTTAGTAGATTGGTTTAGTGGATTGAGTTTTTGTATGTGTGATTAAATTGGCAGTTTGTTAGTGGTTTAGTATATTGGTTTAATGGATTGGTTCTGTGGATTTAGGTTTTGTATTTGTGTGATTAAAATTGGCAGTTAGATAGTGGATTGGTTCTGTGGATTTAGGTTTTTGTCTTTTGTGTCGTTGAATTGCAGTTAGTTAGTGGTTTAGTAGATTGGTTTAGTGGATTTAGGTTTTGTATTTGTGTGATTAAAATTGCAGTTAGATTTTGGTTTAGTGGATTGGTTTTGCGGATTGAGGTTTTGTGTGGTAAAAATTTCAGTTAGATAATGGTTTAGTAGATTGGTTTAGTGGATTTTGTTTTGTATTTTGTGTGATTAAAATGGCAGGTAGATAGTGGTTTAGTGGATTGATTTAGTGGATTTTGGGTTTTGTATTTGTGTGATTAAACTTGCAGTTAGATTTGGTTTAGTGGATTTAGGTTTTAGTGGATTTAAGTTTTTGTCTTTGGTGTGGTTAAAATTGCAGGTAGATAGTGGTTTGAAGGATGATCTAGTCTTGGGGGATCCTACTGCTCCGAGGTTTGTGTTGTGGAATGGGAAGCTGAGGCCGGTTCCGTCAAAGCTAACCGACTTGCCCTTCTTTGACTTGATGAGCATTGGAGGGAAGATTAGAGCTGGATTTGGTGCCATTGGGCTTCGACCTTCACCTCCGGTTTGTACTCTTACCGCTCCCATAAAGTTATGTTTGTAATGTGATACGAGTTTGCTCATGATCTTAGAGTTTTGGCAAAGGTGACAGGGTCGTGAGGAATCTGTAGAAGAGTTTGTAAGGCGTAACCTTGGTGATGAGGTTTTTGAACGCTTAATTGAACCTTTTTGCTCAGGTAGTGTGATTAATAGCAGTTGCTGTGAACTAGTAGCCTTCTTTTGTTTATAATATAGTGAAGTGCTTCTGAACTTTTGTTCATATCAGGTGTTTACGCGGGAGATCCTGCGAAACTGAGTATGAAGGCAGCTTTTGGGAAGGTTTGGAAGCTAGAGGAGAATGGTGGAAGCATCATAGGTGGTGCTTTTAAGGCAATTCAAGCGAGAAATAAAGCTCCCAAGACAACCAGAGACCCGTGAGTAAAACTATTCCATTAGTGTTTTCTATCTCATGACTCACTACTGTAAAACCTCTCAAGTCAACACGATACTGCAGGCGCCTGCCAAAGCCAAAGGGCCAAACTGTTGGTTCTTTCAGGAAAGGACTTACAATGCTGCCAGAGGCAATCTCTGCAAGGTATTGTAGTCTTTTAAATGTTGGGAAATGAATCTTAGTCTTTTATTTCTCATCGGTTTTGTGTAGAACAATGCAAACTCCTATATTGTAGGAATATTTGCTTCTTTTTCTCAGTCACCCTTTTTGATGAGAACCATGCAAAAACTTTATTATGTTTCGATTTGGCAGGTTGGGTAACAAGGTGAAAGTTTCTTGGAAGCTCTCAAGTATCACTAAGTTGACCAGCGGAGAATATAGCTTAACTTATGAAACGCCGGAGGGGATAGTCACTGTACAGAGCAAAAGTGTAGTGATGACTGTGCCATCTCATGTTGCTAGTAGTCTCTTGCGCCCTCTTTCTGTAAGTTTCTTTTCCTGTCAAATCACTTGTGTCTTGTGTTTTTTTTATTTTCATTGTTCCTGCGTCAAGCTTGTGAATTGAATATGAACTTTTAAACTAGTAAACCTTATATATATATAAATCCACAAATAGCTGGCGAGTTGAGTATACTAGTTTAAATTGGGTTCCCTTTAAACTTTGATGACAAAGTTGCTGAAGCTATGGTCTATTTTAAGGATTCTGCAGCTGAAGCCCTCTCAAAACTCTACTATCCACCAGTTGCGGCCGTATCCATCTCATACCCGAAAGAAGCAATCCGTAGCGAATGCTTAATAGATGGTGAACTAAAAGGGTTCGGCCAGTTGCATCCACGCACACAAAAAGTGGAAACTCTTGGTAAACCCGAAGTTCTCTTTATTTCCCTTGAGCTAAAAGGAAGGGCATTGATCATATATTGCATTTATGCAGGAACAATATACAGTTCATCGCTCTTTCCTAACCGAGCACCACCTGGAAGAGTGTTGCTGTTGAACTACATCGGTGGAGCTACCAACACTGGGATCTTATCAAAGGTATTTACTAATAAACATGCTTCTTGGTACTATCTCGAAGATTCATATGTTGTGATCTCTTTTGCAGTCAGAAGGTGAGTTAGTGGAAGCAGTGGACAGAGACTTGAGGAAGATGTTGATAAAGCCAAACTCAACCGATCCACTTGTACTTGGAGTAAAAGTATGGCCTCAAGCCATTCCTCAGTTCCTGATAGGTCACATTGATTTGGTAGACGCAGCGAAAGCATCTCTCTCGTCATCTGGTCATGAGGGCTTATTCTTGGGTGGAAATTACGTTGCCGGTGTTGCATTGGGTCGGTGTGTGGAAGGTGCTTATGAAACTGCAACCCAAGTGAATGATTTCATGTCGAGGTACGCTTATAAATAATGTAACGCAGCAACAGTTTGATACTAAGTAGTTGATTGCAGTTTTGACTTTAAGAATACACTGTTTGTGAAAAATACAAGTTTGTGATTAATTTATATGTATTACTATTAAGTTGTGGCCAAAATAGCAAAAAAAAAGACACACAAAAGCATGAATGAAAGACATATTTGTAAAATCTAGAAGAAATCGATCGTAACTCTTGAATCTTGAGGATCTTCGTGAAGAGGAGAGATCTTGATAGGGTCGAATGTTGTGGGTCTTGGAGATTTCTGTTGTGTGTAATGGTGAGAATATGAAGATGATGATGATGTGGGGAAGATGGAGGAGGAAGACGAAGTGGAGTCAAGGTTTGTAGGGTGGAGGATCTGTGTGAGTAGAAGCACAATTGAAGCCATGGATGACGAATTGAAGATGATGATCAACTTTGAGGAAGGTTCTTTGTCTTTTTAGGTTTTTAGTATGGAGATTTAATTGCCCAAGTGATGCAAATATGTCTCTCTTATATATAGAGAGAAAAAGCGTAGGTCCCACTTTGATAATTTAACGACCATGGTTTTGTTCTAGTAAAATCCAACGGACGAGAGAATCCAGTGCGACTCTTAAAAACTTTGGGTAGCAAGTGTTTTTTGGACTTGACTTTTTAGCTCGCATTTATATCTCGCCCCCAAAACTAGCTGTTCCACCTGGCATGGCTTCCTTCTAACTATTTTATTTTAACAACTTTAAAATAAGTACGTTTTAACTTTTAATTAGTTAATCTAACTTTCTTTCTATCAACTATTGGCTGAATTTTCTATGCTTATTAGAAATCAGATCATACTTGCATTTTAGCAAAATAGGATCAGATTAAATTACATCAACAAATTCTTACAATAAAATAGAGTACTCTACATGAATACAATGAAAGAAAGATAGTCCTTTGTGTGTTGGAATTGAAAAGAGTTAGGAGGTTTTAGATAATTTTAGTTTTAGTTTAACATCAAGAATGCTTTTGGCATACCTTTGCCCCCAATAAATTTTGTAGGTAATAGTTGGCCAATCAAAACCAAATCACATTAAATTGAAAGATGATCCATAGAGAAAAAAAATAGACGCATTCAATAAAATCCATCCATGTGTGGGGGCAATGCATGTGAATACATGTATTGACTTTTTTGATTATTCAATTCAAATTAAAATTTTGGTCAACCAAATTGTTATTTAAGCGAAGGGCCTCTGGTTTTCACAGTCCAAATTAGGCCCAGTTCCTACCTTTAACAGCCCAACATATCTTTGATAAAACCCGATCCGGTCATTGACCCGCCCGTCTCCAGCAATCCCGCACTCTAAATGGAAGAAGAGGATCAAAATCAAATAGAAGAAAGAACTTTAAAAACTTACTAAATGAAATAACAGCTGAGACTCACTTGAAGAAGAGAGAATAATATCAAGGAGAACGAATTCTGCAAATGTAATTGTGTGATAATTGTTCTCTGCTCTTGCACATCACATCACATGCTTAAGTAGTTAAGTTAAAATGGAATTTATCAACTATAGTATATCGGCATTTCACATTTGTTGAGTTTACAATTTTCCAAAAAAAGTAATTTTGTAAATATGGACGAGCTGTCTCAGTCAACTAAAAAATATTAATATATTTGAGTCGAAAATAAGATTACTAATATAACTAACTCGTTATCGTAAATCAAATATTATTGTTCACGTACCAAAAAACTATTAGCGAACAACACGCCAGTTTTATAACAATGTTAAACAACACTACTCTTCTGTCCTCTAAACTACTTGCCGTTTAAACGACATAAAAAGCTTGTAGAATAATTCTTTCCTTGCTGCAATAACTATTATAATAAAGCCTTCAATTTATTTTTGAGTATATCCACCAAGCACATATACTTTTAGAATTTTGATTTGAATTTTGTAAATAAATTCAGATTTTGCTCAGATTTCGCTAAAATTTTTATTTATTTTTTCTTCAAAATATCAAGATTATTTTCTATATATAGGATTATTTCCGTAATTTACCATATAGCATATACATGATAGCTTGTTGATTTCATCCAAACAAATTGTAATTATTTTAAAAATACAAAAACAAAAACCACATTATACTGCCATTGTGCATATCATTATTTCCAAATCGCATATCGACCAGACTCAATCTTTGAACATCCTCTATAGCAAACACTTATGATTTGTGGTTCCACTGATCTCGATTTGAGACGAATTATTGAAGAGAACATTTTCTTATTTTATTGATATGTTTCTTTTAAAATATGGGTAGTTAATAACATCTATAATAGTTCTTGGACCCTTCTGTTTTTTGTTTTTTGTTGTGATAGACTTTTATCATGAAATTTCCAATCTCTTGTGGAGTATATCCACCAAGCACACCTACTTTTAGAATTTTGTTTTGAACTTTGTAAAAAAGTTCATATCTCACCCCCAATTCTATCCTCTTTTCTTTCAAAACGAGATCATTCACATCTAGGTTCTTCACATAATTTACCATATAACATGGATACATAATGGATGCTTAAGTCCATGTTGTCCAAATAAAGCTGTAATTGTTCTACTACAAATACAAAAATGGAAACCACATTATATATTTTGCTATAAAAAATATCTTACAACACAATATTAAACAATTTCCTCTAAAGTGTCAGATTGAAAGAATAATTAATGAAATCAAGAAATTAAAAATACTTCATACCTCCGTAGAAAAGCATTCACCATGATCAGTTGAGATTAACCTTGCCCCATTTGTGTTTGAATTTAATATGTTTTCATTATGTCTATCATTATTTTCAAAACGCATATCAAGCAAACTCAATCTCTAAACATCATCAATAGCAAAAACTTCAGGCATTGGTCTTCACACTTGATTCGAGACATATTATTGAAGTAAACCCCTCTTTGAATCTATTATTTTTCCATTAATGTATCTGGTACGCGCAAAGTTTATAGTTCTGGAGGATCCAAAACAAACGCCACAACTTCTCAGTCCGCTTTATAACCTTTCATAAAACAAGCATCATTTGTTGTATCCTTAATCTTTCCACATACGTAATATTCTCTATCCCCTTCACAGTCATTCCAATCTTCGCCGGTTGTTTAGCTATATATTCTTCTACTAAGCAAGTTTGATTTTCCATTACCTACAATATGATCATCACACACATTCAATATTCTACATTCCCTTCAAGATCATTCAATCTTTGATGTTTGCTGGCATATTTCTCCACCAAACATACTTAATTTTCCATTGTCTAAAGTGTAATCATCGCAAATATAAATATCATTTCAATCAACAGAATCAAGAATAAAGAATAAGATAATATATAATTGTATACTTAAAAAATAAGTTCATTTTATATGATCAGTGAAACAATCAAGAAACAGACACCATATAAGAAATTTAGTGCAAATCACTATCATCAATATCATCATTTAATAAATATTTTCTATATAATTACACATACAATAGTTGTGTAGTTTCAAATTAAAATGAGCACTGTTATGTTTATACAAGTCACTATACTTTTAGGTTAAAACTTTTCCTAAACTTTTTAAATTAAAGCATGAAAATAAAAATACACAAAAGAAGATTCAAATTACCTTAACTACATATATTTGTTGTATAATTTCAAAATAAAATGATTATGTTATGATTATATACATATATTCATTATAAATTGAGTTTAATATATTTTCCTAAAAAATTAAACTAACGCATTAAAACCAAAAAAAAATTGACAAGAAAACCTTAACAACAACTTATAATTAAGGAGAAGTTGTTATCACAAAAAAAATTGCTAAACGACAACCCGTCCTATTTTTCTTCTAAACTGCATGTAGTTATTAGCTAGTCTAAACGACACAAAGTTCCTCCTTAAACCCTACTATCATATTTCTCCCTTCCCTCAACATCTCGATTGACATAGCTTAGAGAAGAACATCATTTGATCTTTCGTTAAGGGTTTTAACTGTGAGAAAATGAACTTCCGCAGTCTCATAGCCTCCGGCTCCCGCCTCGGGAAGAGGTTCTGTGCAACCGTCTCCTCTCCGGCGTCTTCATCCGGCGTCGTCGAAGCCTCTGTTTCCGCTCCTCCGACGGCGGCGTCAAGGCAGAGAGAGATGTACAAGAAACTCTCGAAGCTTAGTGTCACTGGAGGCACAGTGACAAAGACTTTGAATCAGTTCATCATGGAAGGCACTCCCGTCAGAAAAGACGATCTCTTTCGCTGCGCTAAGGACCTCCGCAAGTTCCGTCGCCATCAACACGCCCTTGAGGTCTCTCTCTCTCTCTGAATCCAAAGCTTTGACCTTTTAGGGTTTAATTGGCTCTGTATTCATATTTGAGTTAATTAAGAGAAGAAAGATTACATTTTTATTCTTATTTTCAATGATAAATTTCAGACCTTTGATTGGATAGTGACATTATATTTTCAAAAGCTTTGAGCTTTTAGGGTTTAATGTTGCTAATATTAATTCTAGAATGACATTTTAGAAGAAAGATGACATTTTTATTCATATTTGGATGATAAATTTCAGATCTTTGAGTGGATGGAGATGAGGAAGATGACATTATCTATCGCCGATCATGCAATTCGTTTGGATCTAATCGCAAAGACTAAAGGCTTAGAAGCTGCTGAAAGCTACTTCAACAGTTTAGATCCTTCCACAAAGAATCATCAGTCTACTTATGGAGCTCTCATGAACTGTTACTGTGTGGAGCTCAAGGAAGAGAAAGCAAAGTCTCATTTCGAGAAGATGGATGAGCTTAACTTTGTTAACAACTCGTTGCCGTATAACAACATGATGTCAATGTACATGCGGTTAGGTCAACCAGAGAAGGTTCCTGTGCTTGTTGATGCGATGAAACAGAGAGGGTTATCTCCTTGTGGGATCACTTATTCTATATGGATGCAGAGTTGTGGAAGTTTGAATGATTTAGAAGGGTTAGAGAAGGTTATAGATGAGATGGGGAAAGACAGTGAAGTTAAAACCACTTGGAACACTTTTTCTAGTTTGGCTGGGATCTATACTAAAGCTGGTCTTTACGAGAAAGCGGAGTCAGCTCTGAGAACCATGGAGGAGAAGATGAATCCTAATAACCGAGACGCACATCATTTTCTCATTAGCTTGTACGCTGGAATCTCAAAGGCTTCTGAGGTTGAACGAGTTTGGGAGTCGTTGAAGAAGGCTCGTCCTGAGGTCAACAACATGAGCTACCTTGTCATGTTGCAAGCTATGAGTAAGCTTGGTGACATAGATGGGGTTAAGAAGGTGTTTACAGAGTGGGAATCGAAATGCTATGCTTACGATATGAGGCTGGCTAATATCGCAATCAACACTTATTTAAAAAGAGATATGTATCAAGAAGCAGAGATGATTCTTGACGGTGCATTGAAGAAGTGCAAAGGGCCTTTTTCGAAATCGAGACAGCTTCTGATGATTCATCTGTTGGAGAAGGGTGAAGCTGATATGGCTATGAAGCATTTGGAAGCAGCGGCGTCTGATCTTGCAGAGAATAAAGACGATGAGTGGAGCTGGAGCTCAGAGCTAGTGAGCTTGTTTTTCCTTCACTTTGAGAAAGCTAAAGATGTAGATGGAGCAGAGGAGTTGTGCAGGGTCTTGTCGAAGTGGAGACCTCTTGACTCTGAAACGGTGACTTTTCTTATAAAGACTTATGCAGCAGCAGAGAAGACTTGTCCAGACATGCGTGAGAGATTGTTCCGACAGCAGATTGAAGTAAGCGAGGAGATACAAGATTTGCTTGAAACGGTTTGTCCTTGAAAATTAAACCTGCAGTAATTTGGTTATAATAATACTCTTTTAAGTGTTATGTCTCTTTTTATGAGTTTAAGCTTATTGTCAACCAATAGATTGTTTATCAAAATCAAATAACCGACATAATCCGTTTGCTAATTGTGGGTTTATCATCCACCCATGACTCATGTGTAGTAGTGTGTCACCAACGACTGAAAATGTATACTCATTCTAGAAAAAATCTTTCAAAAAGATATATTTTAGATTTTCAAAATATTTTTGGTCAACTAATAATGGAAAATTGTGAATTCAAAAACTATTTATTGTTATTGGTTTACAAATATTGGAAACATAAAATTACAAAAACTATTCATTAATAACTAAGTTTTAAGTGTATTTTTAATAGGTGTAAAAATCTTAAAACATCTATTATTTTGAAACAGGTGGAGTATCTCATACACAATTTACCATTAAACAAAGAAGCTTTAGATTTGTCCATAAAGAGATAACTAAAAAAAAGTAAATAATCTATATTAGAATGGGACAGTTAACAGTTAAAATATTGACAAAGAAAAACAGTTAAAATATTTTGCAATTTTTAGTAAATGTTAATAGAAACTGCTTGGAATCATCTATTGTTAATGTGACCAGATCATCACTGATAATATACTATTTAGAGAATAAGGCATTATCCAATAGTGATTGGTAAAAACAAAACAAAAAAAGGAGGGGGGGGGGGACGTGTAGTGGTAAAACAAGCTGGCACGTCTGTATCTGGTCGTAATCGATTCGTTCGGCCGAATAAAACCCCAAAAAAAACAAACATTTCTTTTTTACCTTTTTCTCTGTTTTATTTATTCAAATCAAAACGCAAAATCCAATTCCGATTTCAACCACAAGAACCCTAATTCAAGGTGTGTGTACTCTCTCTCTTAATTCCAGTATTTCATTCATTTTGTTTTGGGTTTGAATTAACGGGTTTTGAGATTAGCAACGAAAGGTTTCATTTTGCAACTTTGTTTATGTGATTATTATTGCCGAGTTCACTCTCAAAGCATGTAACTTTTGATTTAATTAGCTTAGGGCTTTTACTTGGGTTGGTTCTGCATTCTCTCTGATCCCACTTGTTCTCTCGATTTTTGTTCATTTTACATCAGAGAGAATTATTTTAGGGAAATCAAATGCCGCGACTTTGTGTGTATATCATGAAATGATTTCAAGTTATCAGCTTTTTTTCTTCCAAGTTAGGGTTTTTTACGTAAACCGAAATTAGCATTGCTCTGTGTCGTTTAGACAGTGATTCTTTGTCCTAATACTACCTATGTTTCATGCTCTAGGACGAGTAAGGAAGTTGAGAGAAACAAAAAAAAAGTTCTGAGTTTTGCAAGCGGTTAATCCTCAAGGGAAGTAAAGGGTTGGATCAGCTTTTTTTTGCTTATTGTGGGAGTTTCACTAAGCAGTTGGGAAGAAACTTAGTCTAGAATGGATCAATTTATTTCAGAAGAACAAGATCTTGAAGCTGGTATTATAGCTCAAGAATCCCCATCAGTTAATAGTGTTTCAGGCAATGCTGAACGTGTTAACTTTGGTGTCTCTGAAAAGATTGATGATGATGATTTAAACTATCCGTTAATGGGAAACGAGAATCCAAACAGTCAAAGTTTAGATCTTTCTGAGAGAAAACGAAATGATATTGTAAAAAAGGATAAGAAGTCAAGAAAGGCTTCAAAGCCACCAAGACCTCCCAAAGGCCCTTCTTTCACTGCAAATGACCATAAAGTGATGAAGGAAATAGCAGAGCTTGCTATGAGAAAGCGTGCAAGGATTGAAAGGATGAGAAATTCCCTAAGAAGACTTAAAGCAGCCAAGTCATCATCATCCCCTTATTCGTGCATTAGCATCTTCTTCGTGATTGTAACGGTTCTGTTCTTCGGCTTTCTAGTCTTTCAAGGTACCATTCTCTTTAGTGTCTTAGTGAAATTGCCAAGTTTGTTTCCTCAAGACATGAGTTTTGTTTTTTTTTTCTACCAGCGGAACTATTTAGATAAACAGAGTTTGCTCTGTTTCTATTGTACCAAAATTGTCTTAAAACTCAACTCTTTTCTCTGTTCTTGGTTCAGGATTGTTTGCAGGCAATATGACTATGAGTTCAGACAACACACCTGCGCCAGTTGGTTCACCTAACAACCAACTGATCTCAGTTCAGTTCTACAATGAGTTTGCTCCCGTTGAGCAAACCGATCCCAGCCCAACCACCTCGTACAGGTGAGGAGCAAACAATGTTTTGTTTTTATAGCTTGAGATTCTTTTTCTCTATCTAAAACAACTACTAATATGAACAATGTTTCTAACGTTTTCTGAATTATTTTGTGTGGAATTCAGATACACGAGGAAGAGAATCTCGGGTGCAGAAGAAGACTAGAGACAGAGAGAGGTCATGTCACCAGAATAGTTTTCTGTGTTTGGTCTCTTTGGTTCAAGTTTTGTTCTGTCCTCTTGTCCCCTTGTATATTTGTTCTGTAACTAACTTGTCCCTTACTTTCTCTTTGTCTAGTTTTGTAAACGACTGCGTTTTGAATAATGTAAGTTGAACCATCAATCTAGCTTTATGCGTGTCTAAATAATGATGATGATGTAAGTTGAGCTATCAAACTAGCTAATGCGTTCTTAATAACGATGATGATGTAAGTTGAACTATCAAACTACAGCTTGGGCCTGATTTTTTTTTCAATTATTTAGAATATTATATTATTGATTGTGGGCAACGTGAAACTTACGTGATTGAGGTATTTAATGACATAAAAATTGATGGAAAAATTGTTATCGACCTTGCAAAATACTATTACAACCAAATGCACAAAAATGTGAAAATGACTAATCTGCCAATTAGATACTACAACGTATACAGTCTTATCACAATATCGACATCTAAAACAATAATTAAATCCGACAGACGTAATAACTCTATATATTAAAATTTTACTTAACCAGCAAGTGATTACAATCCACACAAAATAAGTTTTTTCGTCGTATTTGATAATATTGATGGAAGTGGAACCAACACGTCTAGTCGTCTAATATCATGTAAAATTCGGGAACTTTCGATCGGTTGATATTATACATATCTTCCATCACTAGAAAGTTCTTCTGAACCGTAACATTATATATGTACACTACCAACCGAAAATGAACTTTACGTGCTGCCTCCACATACGAACAAAAAAACTGGTTTTTTTTTTTTTAAAGACAATAGAAACTTCTGTTATCAAACCATTTGACCTAATAATTACAACAAGTATATGTTTTCGTTTGTAGTTTTTATTTGTACTTAATTTATCTAATCTGTTATTCTCATTCTTGTTTTAGGTAAATGTTAAGGTGACAAGAGACTCTTGATAACGATGATGAGACTCTTGTTTTAGATATGATTGAATGAATATATGGAAAAGAAATCGAGAGAATAAAAGGAACACAAGTACTACTCACGTCGAATATACCATTTGACGTAAGTTATTATACATCACGAGAGAAAGAGAGATCCACGTCCTGTGGTGACGGACAACACCGCACTACTTGTTATAGTCGGTTAAACTCACTACCTTTTGTCAGTGATTGGTCGCTTACTTGCTAGTGATTATTTTGGAGACTGTATAAGTAGATTAGATCGACGTCATTCATCATTCACTCTGATGTTTTTTCTAGACATAACACCAACGCATTTGATTACTACTTTTTCTACATTTTTTAAACATGCTTGTTAGTCCATAAATGTAGTCCCTGTATATACATTTCCTTATTTTCTCATTCGAATTAAACGTTTCAAGCTTGGTCTGTCTGATTTATCTTGAACCTGTACTTTCATATACTGTCCTTAAGGATCCATATTTAAGCTATAATTTAGTTAATTAAATAGTAACTCGTTTAAGTTCTTAGCTTTTCGAATTGACATATTATTTACTCAAAATTTAATGACAAAAAACATACGAACAATATCAAAAACTTAGGTTATGTGGATCTTGTGTAACTCGAAAGCTGGAATATAAAAATATACTGAAATATTCAGAAACTTGACCATTTGAAGAGAACAATTCGCAAGATTAAGCGGATCACCATCAATATGTATGTATTATAAATGACTGTCTTTTTGGAAATGTGATTCATAACGTTGATCAAGTGGCTGTATCTCAGCAGCCCACACCACACAGTGATCGAAAATTTAACAGAAACTATATAAACCTAAAAGTCTAAAACAAAAAGACTTGATTGCGTAATTATGTATATTAGTTTGGACACAAACTTTGACTTGTCTTACTATAGATTTTTATCCACATGCATATTTATATATGAAACATAATTGACAAAATATATAAGATTACAATCTAAAACGTAACTTACAAAGCATGTACGTCCGTTTGTGATTGTTACTATTAGCAAATCAGAAGAAACATATTTTTTCCTTTTTAGGATCTTCATATACGAACTTATTTTTGCTATTTTTACAATAATTGTTAGTCGATATATTTGATGATATATTCTAGAATTGAGTCTAGAGTGGAGGACAGATTACTGAGATGCGGCTAGGTAGGTAGAGATATTTAATTTGGTTTAACAATTCTAATTAAAAGACACTATGAAAACAAATTGGAAAATAAATTAAATTGCAATCGGATCATTCAGCTGCAAAGACTCAAATGGAAACGGAACAATTTATCCACGCACACGTATACTTTTCAGATATTACCATTCACAGTCTTTTTGTAATCATGCAAGCTGTACGGGAAAGAAGAAACAGAAACAACATTAGTGGCATTCCTCGTAAATACCATATACATTTTCAGGGTATTTACGTCATGAACACATTCTATAAATGCCACCCATTCTGCTTCTCTAGACATGCAGAGTCTAGAATCCAGCAACCTCATTTTATATTAAGTAACAAAAAAAGTCAAAACCATGTCCGGTAACAAGGTCTCGATTTTCCAAGGTCTTTTCTTGTTCTTCTATCGGTTTTTTATTCTCCGGCGTTGGTTTCATCGTAACCCTAAACAAAAACACCAAAAATGCCCTTCTCATCACGGCCTACACCAAGCACACGACTTATCACATCACACTTTGATATTTAACGTTGAAGGAGCTCTACTCAAATCAACCACCTTGTTCCCCTACTTCATGCTTGTTGCTTTTGAAGCCGGAGGGGTATTAAGGTCTTTTCTCCTCTTCTTTCTCTATCCATTTATATGTTTGATGAGCTACGAAATGGGAATGAAGACCATGGTGATGGTGAGCTTCTTCGGGATAAAAAAAGAAAAATTTCTTGCCGGGAAATCTGTTTTGCCTAAGTATTTTCTAGAAGATGTTGGGCTCGAGATGTTCGAGGTTTTGAAGAGAGGAGGCAAGAGGGTTGGTGTGAGTGATTTGCCACAAGTGATGATTGATGGGTTCTTGGGAGATTACTTGGGGATTGAAGTTGTGGTTGGGAGAGAGATGAAAATGATCGGTGGCTACTACTCAGGCATCATGGAGGATAAGAAAGAACATGAGGTTTCTTTTGGTAAATTGGTTCAAGAAGAGAAACTAAGTAGTGGTCATGTCATTGGCATCACGTCCTGTAATTTGCCAAGTCGTCGATCTTTATTCTCTCAATTTTGCCAGGTAAATTCTCATATTTTGATATGTGTATATATAATCTAAAGTTCAATAGTTGTTTTTCTTTGGAAGTTTTTGGTAGTTATAAAAGCGGCATTGGATCCAACAATGGTCTTATATAAGTAACACAGACGTAACATAACTGTATTTTTTGTTTTTTTTTCAAGAATTAAATCTTCTACGTTTTTAATACTGTAGTATTTAGTATCTGCTTTTATTTCTCAGTTTTTTTGTATATGGAAGATAGTACGTAATATTGTAACATACGTTTTTACGTTTGGGGGTTTTCGATGCCTAGGAACTCGATAATGAATTCCCCAATAGAATTCCGTTTGTTTTAAATGTCGCTTTTTTAAACGAACAAGAGATGCATTGATTTTCTTGGAACTAAAAAAAAGTTATGTAAGATGCAAAATTTAAACCAGTCTATTGGAAAAAGTCAATGAATAAGTTCTTATGCATTCAATGCAAACAATAGACTATAACTTGCTATAATCTATACCATAGATTATTACTACTTTTCATACATAAAGGTCCACTTAAACTAACATGTGCTTATAATAATCTTTACTTATCCTTTTCTTTTGTTTGCGTAAACAGGAGATCTACTTTGTCAGAAATTCAGACAAGAAAAGTTGGCAAACCTTACCACGAGATCAATACCCTAAACCATTGATTTTCCACGATGGTCGTTTAGCTATTAAGCCAACACCTATAAACACACTCGTACTATTCATGTGGGCCCCATTTTCCGCCGTCTTAGCTGCAGCAAGACTCGTCGCCGGCTTAAACCTTCCATACTCCTTAGCCATTCCTTTCCTTGCCTTCTCTGGTCTCCGTCTTACACTCACCGTCAATGAAGACCTAATTTCTCCCGACCAAAAGAAAGGTTGTCTTTTCGTGTGCAACCATAGAACGTTGCTAGACCCACTTTACATTTCATACGCTCTAAGAAAGACAAATATTAAAGCCGTCACCTATAGCCTAAGCAGATTATCTGAGCTTTTAGCTCCCATCACGACCGTTAGGTTGACTCGTGACCGTGTCCAAGATGGTCAAGCCATGGAGAGATTGTTGAGCCAGGGAGATCTAGTGGTTTGTCCCGAAGGGACTACGTGTAGAGAGCCTTATTTGCTTCGGTTTAGTCCACTTTTCGCAGAGGTTAGTGACAACATCGTACCGGTTGCTATTGACTCGCACGTCACTTACTTCCATGGCACAACGGCTAGTGGTCTTAAGGCCTTTGATCCCATTTTCTTCCTCTTGAATCCTTACCCTTCCTACACGGTCAGATTACTTGATCCTATCACTGGTGGTGGCTCGTCCACTTGTCGAGATCCTGATGATAGTAAATATAAGTTCGAGGTGGCTAATCACGTGCAGCACGAGATCGGGAAAGCCTTGGGGTTTGAATGTACAAACCTCACGAGAAGAGATAAGTACTTAATCTTGGCCGGTAATAATGGAGTTATCAACAAAAAATGAATGATTTGGAGATAAGTTATCTATTAATCAGGGCGTTTCGTTGTGTGACCAATGTGTTTTATATATTTTTATAATAATTTTGTTTTCTACATTGTATCTTTTTGTATGATTAATACATATGTATATTATGTACTCTATGTGTCATCTCTTCTTTAAATGTTATTACCATATCTGTATATACATATATCACCCAATTTGATTTTCTTAATTGGATTATGTCTCCGGAGAGTAACAACGAAGAATAATTGACAGTTCTGGAGTTTCTAAAACACACGCAACACATATAGATAGTATGACATGGTGGTAATAGCTGGGGACCAGATCTGAAATTTACATACATATATATAAACTAAAACATATGTTCTTGTTAATTTGTACTAATTTAGCTAGTGATGAAAATCGTATATTCGTTTGACAAAACTGTTTATTCTGTCGGTTCGGTATATGAATCATTGATATGAGTGATATCTAACGGTTTGGCCGTACCGTCTTTGTCAAAACTCAAATAATTACATGGATATATTAGCATGTTTTTTTGTTTTTGTGTAACATGCACGTCCATTTTGTAAGGCATATAAATGTGTATTTTTTATTTAAAATATTGTGAGATTTATCTTTTGAAAGAGAACCATTTTAAAAATATTAATCAGGAATAGCATCAGAATATGTTATGAAATAATTAAATTAGGAAAAGTGTCAAACTGAACACGTTAACCTTGGAAATTTGTGGATAACGACTTATGGACGAATTGATTCGTCAACTAACGATCTTACAGTTGTAAATTGTTAGAGAAAGGGTTTCGAAAATGTATTCGTGTTTGATAATTACTGATATATATTATATGTGTGGGACTCATGCCGATAATTACGGGGTGAACCCTACGCATATTCCCACCTAACTCTGTTTAATGCTTCTTCGATCTTTGATTGAATAGTTAACTTCACTGAATGACGTATTTAAAATTATTAATAATTTAAATAAAATTCATACGAAATCAGAATGATACTTTACAAAATTATTTGCATAACTAACCAAATGGTGAATGATAAAAATTACTTTAGCAATCCAATGGTGATTTAAAAGTTAAAACCTTTTCATCAATACTTGGCATGCTAACGGAAATCGTTTAAAAGTAACTTCATATTCTTTTTGATAAAAAAAAGTAACTTGATATCCAAAATATGAAAACCTCGCCTAAATTTGTATTAAAATTGTGACGAGTAGTTAGAATTTGGGGTATATTTAAATAATGTAAAGTTTTGGTTTTCAGTTAACTTGAGTCTAGTATGGTTTGACATTTTGGGCCTTAGTCTAACTGCTATATAAACCAAATTTGTGACTTCGACCAAAAACGGGGTAGCGACTAGCGAACACATGCCTTATGAAAGTTACCATATATTCGTTGTCCAAGTTGTGAGCTATACCATAAGAATTGCCGATTATAGGTACCAAAATGTGGGCCTGTGTTGATGAAAGTAGTCGTTGTCCAAGTGTGAGCTTTTCATAAGAATTGCCAATTATAGTTATCAGATCATAGGCCTGTGTTGATGGGCTGGTCCGAATCAAATCGAATTCCTAACGACTTCTTGGTTCTGAGTAGACTGGAAGATTTCAGATTACATTAAAACTAGGTACCTCTGGTGCCTCTGGTGCTATAACATCAGCCTTCCAACACGCAGTATCTTCGCCCCTTATGGCTGAAGCGCTTGCGATTCGGGAAGCCTTTTCTCCACGCCTTTTCACTCAACTATCAAACCATCTGGCTCCGCTTAGATTCACAAGGGCTTGTTAAAACCATCATCTCGAATCATCTCGAACCTCCGATCGATAGAGGCACAGAGCTCTACTGTGTTTTATCGGATGTTGATTCGATTACCTCCTCTGTTTCGCTTTCTATTTCTTTCTCGTTTATTTCGTGTTCTGATAATGGACCTGCAAATTTCCTAGCTAAATCTTATTTTTCCATGAGTCTTTAAAACGTATTCTCTATTTAGTGCATTTTTCAGTTAGTACAAAAAAAGGAAAAAAAACATAGATCCGTCATATAATGATTTCAGCAATGAAATACATTTTAAAAAACTGGATCCACAGTTCAGTTTAGAATCTCTAATATAGTAGTCATATATTTCCCAAACCTTGAACAAGCCAGTGTCGGTGTAAAATACGTATACCCATGTTATACCACAATTAACTGAAACGAAAAAGTTGGTAGTATTGTTTTTTTTTTCATACAATGCAGCTGGAAATTAAACAAAAACGAATGATATAAAATTAAAAACTACGCAAAGAAAAATAAATAGTACTTGATACTGATTAAGTATTAAAAATAAAAGAAGTTATCTTAAGATTTCTTTTTTTTTTGAGAAAGGGTTTTATATCTTCGGAATTTGACTTAATAAACTGATAATAATAAGAATTGGCAAATACGCATTACTGAATCTCATCCGACGGCGCTCGACAGCTATCCACTACTACTTTTGGACGATGTGGAGTTATCATGTATGATGCATCCAAAAAACGCACGACAGTTAAGTTATTGCTTCCAACTTACGGTTTTATGCATGAATCCATTATATCAACTCTCACATGTTAAATAAGGTTTTGATGATTTTGACTTCCAGTGATTACCTGCAAGCTTGATAATCTAGATGACCAAGTTAGCCTATCGTTTTCTCTTCTTTTATATTTGGTTGGACATTTGTGTGTTCACACCTAAAATTAGTATTAACTTATTTATTATTGGTTTCGATCAATTCATCATGATATAAGTTTAGAATAATATGCATCTATTTAATCAGGCATCAATCAAATAACAATACGTAGTTATTGCATATTCTGTATCATAGGTCTGTCAAACGCAGGTGTTACTATCAATATACAATAACTTGTCAACTGCTACAATTTTGTGTCCATAGTATACTATAGGTATTTAATTACATAATTATATTATATTTAGTAATTAACCTCTTTGAACAAAACAAAAATACCAAACCTCTATATCATACTATAATGATACAGTATCAATGAATCCTCTCTTAAGGTTCAATTTTTTATTTTTTATTATTAATTTTTTTTTCTAAAAAAAAAGTAGACTAATTGCGGATCGTCACGTGTCGTGGGGTCCTTGCTACAGTGATGAACCGGGTTCACGACAGAGAACTTCCAAGAGGCGGGTTCAACACCATTTATTATTTTAATAATATTTTTTGAAATACGTATGAACCCTATTTGAACCTTTGATGGGGGTGCTCTAACATATCTATTTTACTTGATAACTTTAACTTGCCTTTTTGGTAATGCAGCTCATATACACACCAGCAATGCTCCACACGAAGTACAAAGCCACGAAAACTCGACCACATGGTATATACTCGAAATTAGGGGAATCTTGTAACTTTCATTTCAGATTCAATTATTAATTTACACTTTCATAATTTTAGAAGTGAACTAATTACGTGAATATCTTTTAAAAAAAAACTAAATACAGAAATAGTAAGCACTGAGTATATTACGATTACAAAAATGTTATTTTATAATATAATTGTGTATGTCCGAGATATTATAGTTGAATAGTAAGAAAACGGATTTGAAATATCTAACATGTTTCATGTTCAGTCCATCAATTTACGAAATTAAATCAAATTATTATAAAATACATACACGGATATAGATCTCTCGTATTCAGCCCATATACGTGGTACTGTATTTGGGATTAATCTGAATTCCATAGATCTGATATACTTGAGGTTAATAAAAAAAATTATATCTGCGTGTCAAATGTTTATAGATATTGACGGTCATATCAAGTTCTTCTATTACCCACATTAATTTCATGACTGTCGGACACATACTGTTGACTATATATGTCTTCTTGTCTGAAAGTTTATTTAATATTAATAGTATAATAAAAAAATAACAACTTATTCAATCTTTAAGAAGAGAGGAAATATCGTTTTTCAACGACCAAAAATATTCCAACGGCCGTTTCCTCACCCCATTCCCAGGCATGTGCCATCCCATTTGCCTTTTGTAGTTTATGTCGTCTGTTGTTTTCCATCTATATACATGCCACAAGACAACCTTTTCAACTGCATTGTTCATAATCATATTTCATCTTCCAACATCTTACCCCAAATTACGGTTTAAGAAACCCATTTAATTAGTACGTTTCTCAATGCCTGCTCCATGCAGGTTCTTCTTTATGTATTTTCATTGTGATATAGTATTATAGTATTACAAAGATAATAATTTTAACTTTTATATGCTTTATCATGATCGTAGAACTTAAGTGGCTTTGTTAATAGGAGTATAATATTTGAATTAGTACTTTATTCCACAAAATTTAAAATTTATTTCTGATTATAAAACATTTAACTTTTTTTTATGGCTATGAAACATTTAAATTAAAAGGTAAATACTCCCTCTGTTTCAATATAAGTGTCACTCTACAGCTATGCACACGGATTAAGGAAACAATTAATTTTACATATTTCCTATATAAAAACACAATTACCCACACACCTAACCATATTTTAACCAATAGAAAAACAAATTACATAATAAAATTAATAAATTTTGCATTGAAAACCGAAAACAACACTTATTTTGTAACACAAAAAATTCTCTACAACGACACTTAATATAAAACGGAGGGAGTATATAATATTTATTGGTTGTCTAGGAGTTGGGTGACTAACTGTCCACTTTAAGCTCAAAATTAATTAAGATACTCGTATTTATACGTTAAAAATGTATATATAATAAATTATTAGAACTTTTCTAAACAATGGTCACTATTTTTTAATACGAGTTAGGTTTGATAACCAATACGTATGTTTCATTCATGGGATAATGTCGGCTAACGTGTCAGATGCCATGTTCCATTGATCCATCCTGCCTCTGGTCAACTTTTCTCCGGCCCATCCTTTCCTTTATATTAGTATATCTTTAAATATTTAAATGAATTGAAATGATTCGAATTTATCCATTAACGTTTTACTTGCTCAAGTATGTTTTTTTCCAGTTTGAGTTACCTTGAACCTAATCAACTAACATCAAAACAACATAATGAAAACGTTGATTTGTTTGATAGGTGAATTGTCACTTGTATACTAAACAGCACAATTTTAACACAGGGGAAGTCAACTCTTTATAATGTCACGTTTATATACATATACTGATGGATCATTTACATTTTATTTATCTATCGGCTAAAATATGATAAAATTTGTTGTCGTATAAAAATGAACCAACCATTTTCTCAAAATAGAAAAAAAGAACTACGAATCAAATATCAAAAGTCGTTTAATAGTGTCATAATGAATAGTAGTAATAAATAATACAGTAAATGGGTAGGTACAAGCGTTGAAAAAAAGAATACAGTTGACAAATATGGGAATGAAAACATTTTCTTTAGTTAATCGGACGGCTAATAGGAGCCGTCAAAGTTGACCATTTCCACTACAAGCCGACATATCGGCCTTACACATGACCACCCATTCTCATATTTTCCAATTACTTGCGACTCTTTTCCACGCGCCTCTTCATCGGAGAAACATGAGTATAAGACCATGATTAACCATGTGATTAAAACCAAGTGTAATTTTTACAAATAAAAAAAAAACAAAAATAAAAATGTCAAATATAAAAAAAAACAAAAATAAAAAATGTCAAACTATAAATTAAAACTCCAAATTAAGAACATGAATTAATCATGCTCTATAAAAAAGTTCATCTATCTATTCCAATAAAAAGCTTGAACCTTAATATCTTATACATCAACCGCGATCGAATTCTTTGCAAGATACATGCTAATAAAATAATTGATTGTTTTTAAAAAATTTAGGTACATCCCAAATTTTTGAAAATGATCAAGCTAATTCTCAATATGAAATACACCTTATGAATAAAATTTCTCAAAATATTCTAATGAGATCTAAGTATGATTTCATATCCATATGATCATACATAGAAATCGATTCGAACCAGACTATTTAGCTACTTAATGTCGGTTTGTCACTGTATCACTCCCATTTGATTAAAACTAGGAACCCTTAACACTATAGGTTGTTAGAGCATCTCCAATGTAAAACTCCATTTTTTCCTCCAAAATGGAGTAAAAGTGATTATGGAGTAAAAATGCTCCAACCCCACTCTATTTGTAACTCCATAATGGAGTAGTGAACAAACAAAAAATAGATTACTCCATTTATGGAGTAAATCTCATTATGGAGTAAAAAATGAAGTGAGGTTGGAGTATTTTTTACTCCATAATCACTTTTACTCCATTTTGAAGTAAAAAATGGAGTTGGGTTGGAGATGCCCTTACTAATTTATGCCTATCATTTATCAATATATAACATCTTTGATCGGGCTCCATATAAATATAAGACAATCTTCATCAACTACCAATTTATACTTCCATTCATATATATATTATTACATATTTAATATAAAAAACTAATCTTTTTGTTTAGTTATCGTTTTAGATTTGTATACATATTAAAAATATATTTAATTATACATTTTAAAAATAAAATATTATTATCTATACAGTTAACTATATTTAATCTAATAAAAATAGAATAATATATAAATTAACAAATTTTGTATTAATATTATAAAATAAATTACTTTGAAATAAAAGTTTACTCAACAATGATAATTAAATTAAACAGAGATAGTAGTATTAAATATACACGAGTCTTATTGACTAGCCAAACACGTAATTTTAGGCAATAAGTGCTCAATCTTTAAATTATTTTAAGAAGTAAACATCGACATCTACTACTTTCCTATCACCAAATTTCAATCTACCCGAATTTAATAATAACAACTTGAGAAACAATAATACAAATAGTATTAAAATTAACAAAAAAAATCATATTCAAGTTTACCTAACTTTTTAAAAAATCAAGCTGATTATATAACACCTTCGTACCCCCAAAAAATCATTTTGATGGAGATAAATAAAAATTACCTCATAAATAAAAAGCTTTAATTATCTTTGCAATAATTTTGTATATTTAAACTCGACCGTCCCATTGATGACATGCCCACCTTACGCGATATGTTGATGAGACGATTACTTTAATCTCCCCCAGTTGTCAACCGTATGGAAACCGTAGCATTAAAAATTAAATCCGAAAAAGACTAATAAAAATTATTTTTCTTTATATCAAACTCTACCTTTCACCTTCCCATAAAGGCATACACTATATATATATACTGACCTCTTCTCGTGTTCTTTCATAATCAAAATCTCCTGTTCTCATTCTGTACTAATACATTTTATTTTAAAAGGTTTTTTGTTTGAAAAATAAAAGGATATGGTTTTGCCTTCTTCAGCACCGTTTCCACCCACTGGAAAGAAGGCAAAAGCCTCACCGGAGTATAACTTTCCGGTGATCGATTTCTCTATACATGACCGGTCCAAACTATCGGCAAAGATTGTGAAAGCATGCGAGGTTAATGGGTTTTTCAAGGTGATAAACCATGGAGTTAAACCAGAGATAATTTCGAAATTTGAGCATGAAGGTGAAGAGTTCTTTAGTAAACCAGAATCGGAGAAGCTACGAGCCGGTCCGGCGAGTCCATTCGGTTACGGATGCAAGAACATCGGGTTCAATGGAGATTTGGGTGAGCTTGAGTATCTTCTTCTCCACGCTAACCCCACGTCTGTCGCTGATAAATCTGAAACTATCTCACATGATGATCCCTTCAAGTTCAGGTGCGTATTACAATTCTTGTTTGTTCTCTGTATATATTGGTTCTTGAACCTGCTTTTATTTATAAAGCTACTAAGGTTTTTATTTGACATATTTATAAATTATGATTTAACCTATTTTATTTATTCCCATACAAAAACAAAATATATTTAACATCAGTTATAATAGTATAAATTAAGATAATAATGTCTTTTTAGTGTAAAGATAATAAATGTCTTTATGCAAAGGTACATCATGAGTCTCATGACAGTTTAATTCTATGTCAAATATTTATAGACGTAAAATTATTTGGTAAAAATAAATTTACAAAAATTATTAAGCATAAACACATACTCCAATATATATAGTACAAACAAACAAACCGTAGTGCAGCTTGCAGTACGTATTGGAAAATATGCATACAGGAACTTAGAGCATCTTTATCGGGGGTATTTAGGAGGGTTTTTAGGGGGAAAAAGTAAAGTAGGTCCCAGGAAAAAAGAAGAAACGTGATCTTCTGTCACGAAATAAGGAACGTGTTTTGTTGGTTCTTTACACTGTACAGCGGGCCCCACGACACGTGGCGGCCCGCTATAGGTTGTCTTCTTTTTTTTTTTTTTTTTTTTTAAAAAATCGGACAAAACAGAAAAAAAGAAAAAAAATAAGAAACTGACCATACGTTTTGCGATAAAGATGCTCTTATGTTTAGTGACATAAATATACATGAGAAAACCTTATATGAAACTGCGTGTCTTTGTTGCGTCTACAAAATAAACTTATTTTGATATTCTATCCATTTATCTCTGTGTGTGTATGAAAGTTGACCCAACCGAAATTGATGGGGATTGTGTGACAATGTGGTTTCTGACTTGTGAGATACCTAAAAAATGAGAAAAGAGAGATGCAATGTCGAATAATGGATAATGACCATAAGACACGGCTTTCAATTATTATCAGTCTTTGTTCCTTTCGTGTCATTATAGTTGTTTTTTTGCTAAAATTCTTTATTGTCATTATATTTGCCCATATTATATGTTTTATATTAAAAATAGACAAATAAATAATCGTACCAACCTATGCCGGTTCGCCTGATAATTTGTTTGTAATCATTACTCTACAATAGTTGGATTTTGTTCTCGGTTCATAGTATATTGGTATGTGATTACAATTAGGATGCCAGCCATTTTCTCTAGATTAAGCTAATTAAATTATCAAAATGCGGATGCTTTTGAACCCTGACTGTGACATGGTTGGTGAATTAAAATACTTTCTAAGTCATCCCCCTTCTAATATGGTGGCATTGTCCACCTTTTTAATACTATACTTTATCAAATTTTTGGTTGGAATCACTTTAAATATCATTCATGGGTTGTCAAAAAAAAAAAAAAAAAAAAAATATCATTCATGGATTTCTTGTTAGTTATTTACAAATATACTTATTAGTTATTATGCACGTCAAAAGTAATAGTAGTATAATAATCGAATAGACTTGGTCAAAGAATAGAAGATTGTGCATGAACACTTTGAGACGTCAAAGAATCAAGATTCGAAACGTCAATAATCGAATATTTGACTTGTTATTTATTTCTCTTGGTCAATTTGAAACAATTGCAACTTGTAAAAAGAAAAAGAGTCGTGGGTCCTCACTTTCGAACATTCCTCTGACCACAGTCTCATGTCGTTTCTCTTCTTTTACTAGAGAAAAAGAATTAAATCAAACAATTTGCTCTGTGTGTCAACAACTGTTGAAGCGTGTCAGCTAAACGCCACGTTTTTATTTTCCTTTTGTAGCTCGGCCACGAATGATTACATACGCGCCGTTAAAGATCTAGCATGTGAGATAATCGATCTAACGGCCGAGAATTTATGGGGCCAGAGATCTAGCGAGATTAGCAACCTTATCAGAGACGTCCGTAGCGACTCCATCTTGCGACTGAATCTCTATCCACCTGCACCGTACGCTCTGAGAGGCGTTAGTCAAATAGGTTTCGGAGAGCATTCTGACCCTCAGATCTTGACGGTGTTGAGATCCAACGACGTAGATGGACTTGAGATTTGCTCACAGGACGGCTTATGGGTGCCAGTCCCATCTGACCCTACATGCTTCTACGTACTGGTCGGTGACTGCCTTCAGGTAATTCCATTTAATTAAAATACTAATTAAATTCATAAAAATTAGTTAGTTTTGGTCAAATCGTCTTTCACGTAGTAAAATAAGATTAGTATCTAGCACATGCACAAATTGAGATCCTACACTTAACTAATTAATCTTTTGTTAATAATAATAGGCATTGACTAATGGGAGGTTCACTAGCGTGAGGCACAGGGTATTAGCGAACACGGCAGGGAAGCCTCGAATGTCGGCGATGTATTTTGCGGCACCGCCTTTAGACGCAAAAATATCACCGCTACCGGAAATGATATCGGCAGCAAATCCACGGCGGTATAATTCATTCACATGGGGTGACTACAAAAAAGCTACCTACTCCCTCCGTTTAGGTGTCCCTCGTCTCGAGTTTTTCAAAGCTTCATAAGTATTAATACCGGATAAAATTTATATATTTTTGGCAGAAATATACTATATGATTGTTGATCTTTTATACAAAAGTAGACACCATTTGTATGTAAATAGTTCTACACGAAAAAAGGAAAAATTAATACTGAGATTTTTGGTCGTTTAATTACAACTGATAAATCAAATATGCAATGATTTTTTTCTTTTGCACTTTGGTGATAAACTAAAACTATAACCAAAGAGGCAAATATGTGGTAGACTGGTGGTAACATCCTTTCCCTTAAGCCCCAAATTGAAACCTTTACTGCTAAAGAAATTGACAATAGTAAAAACCAAAGACTTAATACAAGTCATCTCTATAATGAGCAACTAACTCTTAACTTGTAGAATCTATAACAAAAACCAAGCTGCTTTGATCTAGTGATAAAGGAGCTCCAGTTGGAGGGTCCATGCTCACTTCAGGATTTAATCTAGACCACCATGATGGAACCAGAATACTCGATTAGAAAAAAAAATCTATAACGAAAACCAGTATGTTGTAACCGTTGTACGTGTCTATCATGATAAGAAGAGTAGGCTAGTACCTGGCTAACTGCATTTTTTTGGTTTACCACACAGCCGTTGTCTTTGGCATGGTGGAGCTGACTTACTCCGCTGCAAATGCAGAGATGCTAGTGATTTTGAAAATATTTGTTAAATTCAATGAGACAGCATAACACTCCTAAATTGTAATATTTTAATTGGGCCTTTAGTAGGTTATATTATATCTATAACATGGACTTACGATTAAATTTAACAAAATACATGGGAACAGCCCAAATTTAAAAGGACCGAACAAAGTCGTCGACTGACTAGTTGACTTTTTTTTTTTTTTTTGTTAATTTGGTTTCATTTCATGTGACGACGTGGTTGATATCTATACCGCCGACGACACAACACAAGAACGCCGTTCGTCTACCAGTGTCGTCGATCCATTGAGAATCATTCCTCGTCGGCCATGTCGTGGTCTAAGGCATGCAGAGGGACTCAGATTTCTTCATATTTACACAACATTCATCGAACATCGCTATCTACAAGGTTAAATGAATCATCATCCCTGATATGATCTATCATCCCTAATTTCCATATTAACTGCTTGTTAAAAATTCCTCAGATAGTTATATATATCCTTTTAAAGTTAGCAACAAAAAAAAATGTTATATCCTTTTCGCACTAGCTAGTTATCGTCAACCTAAGAATTGAGCTGCTGATGCGATTTCTGATGTAGGACTGTGAATCTTGCTCCATGCTCTCGTTATTACTATGGAGTTTGTAGAGGCAACCAGCATCATCTCCGAAGCAAGAGTGGGCTTTGGGGAAGCTCATCTTCGTTTTCCTATTTGAACTCTCATCTCCCTGCTGCTGCTGCTCATCGTCAGTATTCTACTCAGTTGATAACAGAAACCAAATCGAAGAAAATGCTTTATTACCTCACTGCCGTTGTCTTTGGCATGGTTGGGTTAACTTACGCGGCTGTGCCATTGTATAGAACGTTCTGCCAAGCTACTGGTTATGGCGGTACTGTTCAACGCAAAGAGGTATATTTATATTTTTTGTATTTTATATAACCCTTTGTTTCAATTTTTATATAACCCTTAACGCTTATATTAGTACAGACTGTTGAGGAGAAGATTGCTAGGCATTCAGAATCTGGTACCGTCACTGAAAGGTGTTTATTCCCTCTCTATCTCTTAACACCATTCATGTGTTTTTTATCGTCAACTTGGTTGCTTACTATACTCTATCATGTTTGTCTTGTATATTATTTATTAGGGAGATTGTGGTGCAGTTTAATGCTGATGTTTCAGATGGGATGCAGTGGAAGTTCACTCCTAGTCAACGAGAGGTTTAGAGTTTTTTTATTTTATTTCAAGTAGTGTGTTCTGTGACTTGTTAACGTATGTGTTTTTAACTGATATATGTCTTACGGTTTTTTGGTATTTTTCCTATAGGTGAGAGTAAAGCCAGGAGAAAGCGCGCTAGCTTTTTACACTGCTGAAAACAAAAGTTCAGTTCCAATAATTGGAGTCTCCACTTACAATGTCACTCCCATGAAGGTATACATAATATATTAGCTTCGGTTGAATGACTATCAAGTATCAACTTCCCTTTTTCATTGATCCTCACACGCTTGTTGGTTTTTTCAGGCAGGAGTTTATTTCAACAAGATACAGTGTTTTTGCTATGAGGAACAGCGACTTCTCCCCGGAGAACCGATCGACTTGCCCGTGACTACCCTTTTCTTTTTCTTTTGGCTCTGTTTGATATTCCTTAAGCAAAAAACAAGAACCCACTAAGACCTTTATTCTTTTCTTTGTTTGGCAGGTGTTCTTCTACATTGATCCTGAGTTTGAGACTGATCCTAGAATGGATGGAGTCAACAACCTGATACTGTCTTACACTTTCTTCAAAGTGTCCGAGGAAAATACTAACAGCTCTGTCCCAGTTCAAGAAAACAATTGAGAAACTAATGTTATGATATACCCTTATGCAAGAAGAAGAGTATCCCTTGGTAGTAATAAAAGGAATTGCAGTAATGTTGGTAAATTTGAATTTGCTAGAAACTCCTGTCTTTGCTTTTCTCGAGATAAATAAAGGTTATCTTTGTTATGCAAATTTTTATGTCAGTTTTGTGCTTCAGTTACGTTTAAACAAACATAAAATTTTATTGAATACTACTTGAATCAAATAAACTATACAACATTGTAACATAGAAGTGTATTCTCGAAACAAAGCACTAAAGAAGCTAAACAAGACAAGAGAAAGAGACAACAATAGCTCCAAGCTGATTTAATGTTGGGGTTGGTGTTTGAAAGTCTTCAACCAGTTGTTGAGGCGCTCCATAGCTGACAAGTCCACCTTCTTTGGAAAATTAGGGTAAGTAACAGCTTTAGGTACTGGTCCCACCATCACTCGAAGCTTAAGCCCAGCTTCACAATCACCAGAGTTTGAGGTTATGAAATAATGAACTCCAGGTTCCGTAAGCCTAACAAGATCATGTCCTGTCTTGTGCACAGCAACAGGAGAAGTTGGATCACATGTCATGAATTCTAGATCTCCACTGATTTCATATACGTCGTTGGCGTCATTAGCATACTCGAAAATCAAACTATCTCCAACATTAAACTGTTTCTCCTCACTCCACGTGTTATAAAAGTAACTATCATAAACGTTCCATCCTTTTGACTCTCCGACCTTGTAGGTGTTTCCGAGAGGTAGGTTCTTGCTAGGTGTTGGTGGAGGAACCGGACTTAACGGGTCATGGACGACAAGAACTTCGAGTTTCTGTCCCAACACGCACTGAGCTTGGTTTGAGGTAAAGGAAACCATGTAAAGGAAACTCTTTGCCTCTTCGATTCCCTTTCTGTCTGTGCTATCAACTACATATACAAACCCTGATGCCTTTTCAAAGTATCTTTTCCATATAGAAATTTATCAGAAAATTCAGTATTTTCGTAGGGGTTAGCCACATATTTCAAAAAAAATAAGAAAATATTAAAATTTTGTTTTATTGCATAGCTACATCATGAACTGATATAGTATGAATATTAAAGAGGTTTAAGACCTTAGATGTTTCCATTTCTTTAGAAAATGTAGATTTTATAGGGGTTATTCCACTTATTAGGTGTTATATGAAGTTTAAGTAAATTACTTAATAAAAAATTAGAAATGATGCCCATCAACCATGAAAATAAGNGGTTTAAGACCTTAGATGTTTCCATTTCTTTAGAAAATGTAGATTTTATAGGGGTTATTCCACTTATTAGGTGTTATATGAAGTTTAAGTAAATTACTTAATAAAAAATTAGAAATGATGCCCATCAACCATGAAAATAAGTTTACCATACATATAAATAAGTTTATGGTGCGATTAGTTATTTGTAAATAACACTAAAAAGATTAAATATTATAGATAGCATTTGTCAGAAAATTCAGTATTTTAATAGGGGTTAGCCCACATATTTCAAGAAAAATAAGAAAATATGAAATTTTTGTTTTATTGCATAGATACATCATGCACTGACATAGTATGAATATTAAAGAGGTTTAAGACCTTAGATGTTTCAATTTCTTTAGAAAATAGATATTTTATAGTGGTTATTCCACTTATTAGGTGTTATATGAAGTTTAAGTAAATTACTTAATAAAAAATTAGAAATGATGTCCATCTACCATGAAAATATGTTTACCATACATATAAGTAAGTTTATGGTGTGATTATTGTAAAAAATACTAAAGAGAGTAAATATTATAGATAGTATTTATCAGAAAATTCAGTATTTTCATAGGGGTTATCCCACATATTACAAGAAAAATAAGAAAATATGAAAATTTTGTTTTATTGCGTAGCTACATCATGCACTGACATAGTATGAATATTAAAGAGTTTTAAGACCTTCGATGTTTTCATTTCTCTACAAAATAGAGTTTTATTGGGGTTAGTCTACTTAATAGATGGTATATGAAGTTTAAATAAATTACTTAATAAAAAATTAGAAATGATGTCCATCTACAATAAAAATAAGTTTACCATAAATATAAATAAGTTTATGGTGCGATTAGTTAATTGTAAATAACACTAAAGAGATTAAATATTATAGATAGCATTTATCAGAAAATTCAGTATTTTCGTAGGGGTCAGCCCACATATTTCAAGAAAAATAAGAAAATATGAAATTTTTGTTTTATTGCATAGATACATCATGCACTGACATAGTATGAATATTAAAGAGGTNTGAAATTTTTGTTTTATTGCATAGATACATCATGCACTGACATAGTATGAATATTAAAGAGGTTTAAGACCTTAGATGTTTCCATTTCTTTAGAAAATAGAGATTTTATAGGGGTTATTCCACTTATTAGGTGTTATATGAAGTTTAAGTAAATTACTTAATAAAAAATTAGAAATGATACCCATCTACCATGAAAATACGTTTACCATACATATAAGTAAGTTTATGGTGTGATTACTTATTTGTAAATAACACTAAAGAGATTAAATATTATAGATAGTATTTATCAGAAAATTCAGTATTTTCATAGGGGTTAGCCCACATATTACAAGAAAAATAAGAAAATATGAAAATTTTGTTTTATTGCGTAGCTACATCATGCACTGACATAGTATGAATATTAAAGAGTTTTAAGACCTTAGATGTTTTCATTTCTCTACAAAATAGAGTTTTATTGGGGTTAGTCTACTTAATAGATGGTATATGAAGTTTAAATAAATTACTTAATAAAAAATTAGAAATGATGTCCATCTACAATAAAAATAACTTTACCATACATATAAATAAGTTTATGGTGCGATTAGTTAATTGTAAATAACACTAAAGAGATTAAATATTATAGATAGCATTTATCAGAAAATTCAGTATTTTCGTAGAGGTCAGCCCACATATTTAAAGAAAAATAAGAAAATATGAATTTTTTGTTTTATTGCATAGATACATCATGCACTGACATAGTATGAATATTAAAGAGGTTTAAGACCTTAGATGTTTCCATTTCTTTAGAAAATAGAGATTTTATAGGGGTTATTCCACTTATTAGGTGTTATATGAAGTTTAAGTAAATTACTTAATAAAAAATTAGAAATGATGTCCATCTATCATGAAAATACGTTTACCATACATATAAGTAAGTTTATGGTGTGATTACTTATTTGTAAATAACACTAAAGAGATTAAATATTATAGATAGTATTTATAAGAAAATTCAGTATTTTCATAGGGGTTAGCCCACATATTACAAGAAAAATAAGAAAATATGAAAATTTTGTTTTATTGCGTAGCTACATCATGCACTGACATAGTATGGATATTAAAGAGTTTTAAGACCTTAGATGTTTTCATTTCTCTACAAAATAGAGTTTTATTGGGCTTAGTCTACTTAATAGATGGTATATGAAGTTTAAATAAATTACTTAATAAAAAATTAGAAATGATGTCCATCTACAATAAAAATAAGTTTACCATACATATAAATAAGTTTATGGTGCGATTAGTTAATTGTAAATAACACTAAAGAGATTAAATATTATAGATAGCATTTATCAGAAAATTCAGTATTTTCGTAGGGGTCAGCCCACATATTTCAAGAAAAATAAGAAAATATGAAATTTTTGTTTTATTGCATAGATACATCATGCACTGACATAGTATGAATATTAAAGAGGT